TTTGTTACTCCACTATTGTATATACACTGTATGTTTTTCCTTGACTGATGATCCTGTGCAGAGTATTATTGTATTTTTAATCACCAAATAAATTCAGTCAGTTTAAGGCTGTGAAAGCTCACAGAAATCAAAAGTCTAATGAGTCAGTTTAGCACCAGCAGGTCCCATTTTATCAAAAATTACCATAGATGATTCATTTTGCAAGACGTGCCCATTTTGGACCAATTCAGTTTGCTTTCTGTGTGCCAGATTTCAGTCATTTCTTAAATTGAACATTCTAAGATATGCATAATCATGTTTTCCTCAGGTTGCTGCAGGCCGTGAGTGGTACATTCACACCATTTACACAGTCCGCTCCAAAGAGAATGCTAACAGAGGCATTGGAAAGCGCAGCCTAGAGTACCACTCCTTGGTTTCCACGAGCAACGATCTGGTCTTGACCGCATCGAGCGGCAAAGGTCATCGCTCCAGGAGGTCGGCTGGCGATGAAGTCCCCGAGGTTGCAGAGGATATCGGAGTAGACAACAACCGTGGCACCAATATCATGCACATCGCTTTGGACCGCACCAAGCGGCGGGCAGCGGGGTCGGATGAGTTGTTCGTCGACAGGCCTGAACCTAGCGAGTTGAACGCAGAGAAGGAAGAGGAGGGTCTGGTGACTGTGGTGGGGGCGCTGGTGGGGCTGCTGCTGACCGTCCTTGTCATTGTCATCGTGGTGCTCGTGCTGAGATCCAGACAGAAGGATGTTAAGGAGGGGTGGAGGGAGGGGGTGCAGGAGGTGGTGAAAGGGTCTGTCAGCACAGAGCCCATGTTGGTGGTGAGGATGCAAGACTGCCACAACAGCTCGGAGGTCTGAGCAACGGATGCATGCGTGGACAGATGGACAAAGGGATGAGGAGTATGTGGGAGCTTTTATAAAAAAAAAAAAAACATTTTGGATTTTCTTTTTTTTTTCTAAATTTTTAACTGGTATTAAATTACTTTCATAACACCAAAAATCTGAGATTGATCATATGCGTTATTTGGTGTGTGTGTGTGTGTGTGTGTGTGTGTGTGTGTGTGTGTGTGTGTGTGTGTGTGTGTGTGTGTGTGTGTGTGTGCGTGCATGCGTCTGTGCGTCTGTGCGTGTGTGTGTGTGTGCCTGTTAGTGTGGGGGGATTTCTACAGTATTGGATCCATTACGCACCTTGGTCACTGCAACAGAAAACAGCACAACAGTCCTATACACTGTCCTCACTTAACATTCCAACTTGTGCTGCTGGTAGCATGGTATTTCCATTTTTCTCTCACTGGCTTAATGGTGTTAAAGTGCCTGAAGCAGCTATATCCCTTCAGGACAGTCCCAGTCACAGAGAGCACTTTTCTAATAAAGCTACTGTCACACAGACCAAGTCGGAGATTTAGTGCTGCGTGTGTACCTTGGTTGAAGGGGGCCGGATGATGTCACTGCTCGTACTGAAAGGAGTAGTTCGCCACAACTGTCCTCCTGTCAGACGAAACTTCACTGAAGTTCGGTACTCCTGCGCATCTCCTGAAACATTAGTGCTAACAAGACCATCTTTTCTACAGCTCGCAGAAGAGACACTAGATTCCTGCACACATTGTGTAGCATTTTCTAAGCATTTAGCAGCTTATGATTGCATTATGGATGCAGCATTACCCGACAATCTCACTCACTGTCCTCAGAGTTGTTCTAAAGTGCATCCATTACCGGAGGATTTAGGAAAGTATTGAGGATTGAAAGATAAAGATTGGACTCATTATAAATATTGAACCCATAGCCTAAATGTTTGGCTACAAAACATTTAAGACTACGCTGCATGAGTAGATTAGTATTCACCCCGGGCTGAACTGTGCCTTTAGGCCTACAATTTTGTCCTGAAATATTTGCTGTGACTGTCACTCTGGATTACACAATGTGTAATGACACAAGATGCCACCAGTTGTTTCTTATCTGTGAACTAAACCTGCGTAGCTCTCCTATCAAACTACTGGATGAAAACCACTGCTGTGGGAATTTATGTTTAATAACCAGCTGAACGTTTTATTCATTCACTGTGTATACTGTTCTTTATTTTGGTTACCATTATGATGAGGAATGTTTTCTTAGATATATTGATCATTTCTGGGGAGGGGTTTTCTGATATTGGTTGTGTTTTTGTAAACTCAGTTATTCTTATTATTGTCATTCGTTTACAGTTCATCATGGCTTCTGTCACCCCAATGTTTACTGCTATCTATCCTCGCAGTGTTGTCGCTCCACTGTGTTGCCATATTCATTCAAAATACTTTGGACATCATGTTTCATGTTTGTTTTTAATTAACACTAGTTTTAGGGTACATATGTATAAAGACACTCATCTCAGGAGTTATTTATTTTATAGAGAATGGACTGTGTGTTGTTACACAATTTACTACTGTTGACTGTAGAGAATCTCTATGGAGCCACTTTCCACTTCTGTGTTACACTGCTAATAAGTGTGGTGCTGTGAACATGCAAATACTGTATCCATAGCCAATGATCTGACCCCTGTTCTTCTCACATTATGTTCCCGTAAGCTTTATTTTTGTCACTAGTGCTGTGTGGGATTTCAGTGTTCTGACTCAGTTTTTCGAACAAAGGATGCAAACAAAATAGCTGCTTACAGATCAGTATGTCACCATGAAAAATGTTACGTTTAAGACATTTAATATAATCTGCTATCTCATTCATGTTGTCACTGGTGAAATTTCTTGTTTACATGTGTTGTTAAACCTGTGTCTTACTCTGCTCTGGATATACAACATGCTGAGATCAGTGTTCCTAAATATTTGTCTTATTATGGTGCTGTGAGTCATCAATTTGTACTTATTTCCAATATTTATCAGGGTTGGATGATGTGACGAACATCAGCTGGAGATGTATGAATCAGTGAGGGATGTGAGGGTTTGTACAGCAATTAGTCTGTGGAGACCCAGCTGTAATTTTTTTTTTTTGGCCCTGGTGAATTTGGAAATAACACCATATCTGACATCAAATGCACTTTTTGAGTCACATCCCTCACACGCCAATCCAAGCTATGCAATGTAACGTATAACCCACAGCCAGTTATTCCCATGTATATGACAATTTTAGCACAAACAATCAAACTTGATATTCACTTTGTGTCTTTTTATGAATGGGTTTTTATGTATATGTATTTAAGAATAAATATTGTTGCTTACTGGTAGATTGTTGATTTAATCAGTGTTTATGCCAAGTTGTAGAATTGAGACTTGGAATATGACAGAAAAATGAGGACTTGAGATTTGATTGGGATTTACTCACAGGTGTAGTGCTGCCGGAGCCATTTTTTCCTCAAAGTGAAGAAATACAATATTCACAGTTCACATAATCCAGTGGAAATTCATATACATTTCTTTTATGCACTTTAAGATCCAAAAAGTATATGTCACACAAGAGAGCCAATAAAAACAAATTGAATGGTCAAAGTTGTGATATTGATATTGAAGGAGTGTTGATTGAGTCATGACATCTGAACAGTTGCAGGTAGCTTCTGGTAGCCTTTGAACTGAGACACCACGGCAGTATTTGCAAACTATGTGCTCGATCCTGTGTAGAATAGACCAGCCCTTCACCCTGTTTTCATAGTTGTATAATTGGAATGAGCTTAATTTTTAGTGTGCAAGTTGATTCACATGCACTGTTAAAAAAAAAAAAAAAGTGTAAAAGAACTGGTAATTTTCACACAATTTTCTCTCTGTAACACCCATACACTTATGATTATGATTATTACTATTAGAATAATCATACACCTCTAAAAAACAGATAATTTGGTTTAAGATAGAATTACTTTAAGCAATTACCTCTGCAACAACCCCAGAGTTGCTCCTAGTTCTGGTGGATGTTGAGGCAGTAGTATATTGCTGACATCCACACAAGGCATTGTAAAAATTCAGAACACCGCCATTCACAATGGTCTGGTGTACTGCAATCATGAAGTGTCCAGCTGTCAGGGGAGCACATTTAAAGTTAAAAGAACAGTCTAACAGCATGACTGTCAAAAAAACACAATGAGGAACTAGTAGGTTTTCACATATGAGCAATTTTGGCTTTGATGATGTCGAGCTGTTGAGGCCCAGGAGGCAGCAAAGAATCCACTCCCTAAATCATGATGCTTCTTTCACTGTAGTTCACCTTTGAGATGATGATTCCATGTTGGTATGCAGTGGCATTTTTACACCATGCATAGAGCTGCATGTTTTTCCCAAACAATTCAACCTTGGTTTCACCAGTCCACAAAACATTTTCCCAGCAGTGACATAGGGAAGACTCATGAACAGAGATGCTAAGCAGCTCCAATGATTCCTACTCTGGGATTGATTTTCTACTTCACAGATCATTCTGCATTGTGCGTTTGGAGTCAGCTGGGAGCCCACTTCTAAGCAGAGTAGCCACAGAACTAAATAATCTCCATTTACAAACAGTGTCGAAATGTGAACTGATGAATACCAACACGATTTGAGATGACTTTTTTCAAGTTTTCCCACTTCATTCAAATCAACAATTCTTGATTGTAAGTCTTCCGAGAGACCTTTTTTTCCAAGGCATGGTTCACGTCAGCAGATGATTCTTGTGAATAGCAAATTCAAACTGTTTCTTTAGAAATCAAAGTAGCTCTAACCCACACCTCCAATGGTTTCATTGATTGGACTCCAGGTTTAATAACTATTGCCTCCTATTAACTTTTGTTAATGCCATTTGCTAAGGGTTTCACATACTCTTTCTAGCCAACGTTTAAATTATGTTTTCAATATGGACAAGAACAAGACAATGATGTCAATAGTAAAAATAGATTGTGTTTGTTTATTTTGACTTAGATGAAAATTTGACCAAATTTATACAGAAATGCAGGTTTACTTCAGGTGTTTCATGCCACTCTGAGAGAGGGGAAGGCGAAGGTGGTCTCTGATTGGTTAAGATGGAAAATGACGCACCACAAATGTGCCTGCGTCCCTCCCCTCCCTCCTTCCTCCTCCACCTCCTGCAGTTGTTGTACTGCTGTTGGCTTGTAAACATGGCCACTGCCGGAGCAACTGGCGACGACCTGAGGAAAGAGCTCACATGTGCGATTTGTTTGGACTTCTTCAAAGACCCTGTTATACTGAAATGCGGGCACAATTTCTGTCGGTTTTGTATCTGCATGCACTGGGATGAAAATGGCGGAGACTACGGCTACCAGTGCCCTCAGTGTCGAACGGTAAGTAAATACACGTTTTCTGTATTTCCCACCGTGTTTTCTTCACAGAATGTGTTTGTGCAGTTGTGAGAGTACTACTTCCAAGTTTTTTTATCAGCTAATTCAGAGTATCTGGTCGACGGGTAGTCTTGAATTAGCTACGCAGTGCATTTTGTAGCTACTGTTGCTATGATACCTAGCTAGCTGGCTTTACCTAGCTAAAATTCATCAGCATGTAAGTTCGCCAGTAACCAGTTAACTTTAAGTTTTAGCTAAAAATAGACGGCGTAATGCAGAATAAATAAATACACACTACAAACAAAGTAACACTGTCTTTGTACTTGGTTACAAGCAGGTTTCTGCGTCTTTCTCAGTTGCTTTCTTTGTTCTCTCAGGTGTTCAACAAGAGGAGTTTCACCAAAAACTACCTGGTGCAGAACCTGGTGGCCAAACTGGACGACCTGGAGTGTCTGGGGTCTTGTCCCACACCCTCCAAGCCCGTTAAAGTAGATGGAAAGTGTGAACAACATGGAGAAGAGCTGAAACTGTATTGCCAGACTGATAAAAGGCCCATCTGTGTAGTGTGTCGGGAATCTAGATCACACAGGTTGGTCGTGTTCTCACTTTTTATGTGGGGAAATAAGAGTAATATTCTGTTTGGTAAGCAAGACATTTGTCTTGTGCGAATTAAACACTGTCACCTTCTTTTTAGGAATCAGGACAAGAGTAGTTGTGACCAATTAGGAATCTGTACAAATACCTTAAAATCAAATGCGTTCTTCTTCTCCATAAAACCTTTGCAGACTTAATTTGTCCCGTTCCATTAGAATTCATCAGCAACTGCAGGACATAGACGTTTTTATGTCTGTACTGGAACATCACAAACTTAAGTGTTTCAGACATTAGTGTGAGTGTTGTAGAAAATATGGATTCAGCTGATGATATACTGTGTTTAGCAGCACAGCTGTGGGTACAGTAGAGGGCTTCAACTAACAATTGTTTTCATTATTGATTTAATTGGTGATTCATGTGGTCTATCAGATGACAAAAAGTGGTGAAAAACAGCCATCACAACTTGCACAAGCTGCACAGGCTGTACAGAATCACACTTGATTATCAAAATAGTATTTTCTTCCAGTCTACTAATTGTAGTAGCTCTAGTACAATGATAGCACATTAGAGTGTCTACATGGGTATCTAACAGGGTGTAAGGGACGAGTTAAGGGCTGAGAAAGAATGCACCAAGGACAAATGTGACGATAGTGTTGCAGGGTAGATGGAAGGTCTCAGTACAGTTAGTTTACTAATAGACATAATATTATTGAGCCTTCCCCTTATCAAACCATAGCTTTAACATGAACATAACATTACTATCTGAAAAATCTATTCAGGTTTCGCTAGCCTAATATTTGTTCTTGTTTTTTTTTTTTTTGTTTTTTTACATCCTTTTTTAAGCACAAACAGTCATTTTTATTGTTGCAGAGTTTGGTGATGTAAAAATGAATCCACCATCCACTCAATATACCTAGAATAACTACTTAAACAAATCTGTGTAAGTCACTGTTTTGAATTACTAGTTAAAGATACATATTGTACTTTGTGTAGCTGGTTTAAAAACCAGCCAGTTTCCTGTATCTTGCCTTGTGCAACACAGACCTCTTTACTTAATATTTTTTGCCCTTGATGTCAGGTTCTTCACTTTTCACAATGCACCAACTCTTATCTGTGTCTACTGGCCTCTTACCTTAAACAGTATAGCACCTCACTGTGCCTTCTGGGTTTTTATACTGTTCAACCGTTGGATTAAGCTTCCAGTCCAACTGACAGTTTGATTATTTTTTTCCCCCAAATGGTTATCTGAAGTTAGTGCAGTTGTAATTTTGAATCCAAGAATTTAGAATTGACCTCATCTTAAATCAACTTTTGTGTGTAGGTGTAGTGTATAAACCTCTTCATTTACCCATTTATATTGATAAGGGAAAAATACTCTGAGACCTAAAAGCTTTGAGATCAGGTATTTACTTATGTGGGAGCTATACAGTTTACTTTTGTTAAAATTACTGTAATAAAGGACTTCAGCTCATTTGGATTTGTAATTTACATCATTACCTACTCTCTTTTGCTTTTAATCATTGTGATGGAGTTCTTCCTTCTTTTGGTTCTTAACGAAGTATTAGGCAGTGCTTCCACAGGTCAATTTCAAGTAAGCCCTAGAAGCAATAGTTTATTGTCTGTCTCAAGGATAGCTGTGAAGAGACTGAGTCAAGCTGGCCCAGTCCCCAATGGCAGTTGCCATAGCAACCAAGGTTCTAGAAGAGACCCTACACTCGCAAAAGATATGATAAACTTAGCCTACGGTCGAGGGAGTGACCATTCATAACACAGGGGCCCTTCAGCTCAGGGACAGACTCTTCCTTGAAAAAGTACTGCATGAAAGATAAGAGACTTATTTGGTACTAAATTGAATCTTTAGACATGTATAGATAGGTGCTGTGATCCCATGAAGAATATCCTTATTTGGGCACATAGTAAGTTTTGTATGACTTTACATGCGCCCTACAAGGAAGATAACCTCCAGAATAAGTTTAATTGCTCATCTCTATTTCCCTCAATTGACCTCCAATAAATGCTTCTGCATAAGACATGTGGGTCTCCTGAAAATTCTTCCATCAATAAGTTTTCTATCACAATCATATGTGAGAAACATTTCTTTGACTTCATTCCACTAAAACACCGCCATCCATTGCATCTGCCTGTGATTGGGTGAAGAAAGTTATGAATAACACACATGAACATAGATCGAAACAGTCGTGATATCTTCCAAAGCAGAGGACATTTATTATCACTACACAAATCCAAAAGGTCATAGAGTAATGCAGGAGTTTTAGCAAATGTCAGGGTTGTTGAAATTTTGTCAGGGGTGAATTAATTGACAAGCAAGTGAAAATCATTGTGTTCCTAAAGCGTGCACCCACAGTTAAAAAGCCCATTTTTTGACCACCAACAATGTTTTTACAAGTGGTCTTGTCATCACATGCATGTATGACTGTGTGACTCACATCCTGTCACTGGTATCACAATTTTTTTTATATTGGTTTGTGTCTACATGCCCAGGCACTGCAGATGGAAATTTACGCTTGTCTTTGTATGAGGCTGATGTTTTTTGTTCATGGTCCCTGACAAATAAATGTAATAAACTCAACTAAATTCATTGACAAGTGAAGATAGAAAGACACCAGCAAACAGCAATGTACCAACAGAAACAGTGATGAAGAAAACTGCAAACAGATAAATAATTTTTAAAGAATTTGCTTTTCCATTGTTTTTTGAGGAGGGAAATGCATTCAACACTGACTTCGGAAGTATATACCTATGGCAGTTTAGTAAGACAACTGAATATAACAATAGCTTCTGTTAGTTTACAAGAAAGCTGGGCACCTCAAATGTTTTGAGAGTGTGATAAATTTCTCTGGAAACATCTAACTTGGCCATTTGCTTTGTTGTTTCAGGCACCATGAGGTGGCACCAGTACCAGAAGTTGTAAATGACATGAAGGTAAGTTGGCAAAGAGATCGGAGATTTCTTATTCACCAAATCTAAAATCTTTGTACTTTAAAAGCCTGGAATATCATGCTTCATTATATCATGTTTTTGTGTGTGCATGTGTCATGTGATCTACATGTTTGTTACAGATGGAGTTAAAGCTGAGGCTAATGGAGCTCAACTGGCAGAAGTCTCAATGTGTGAAAGTTATAACAACTGATGAGCGCACCAAAAGTGAAGTGAGGGTATGGAATGGACTCTTTCTTTTTTTAGTTCATTTTTTGACTTGTGACATTTGCATATTTGCAGGCAAAGCTTGCAGTGTTTGTTTGGTTCAGGCAGTCTTTCAAGATTACAACTGTGAGAGAATTTTCTCTTGTCCACCTAATGAATGAATGAATGAATGAAGGACTGAGTCAGGTCAGTGGGAGGCCCTAGGTTGCTGTGCCACAGCTATTGCTTTAAATCTCCAGACACAGCTGTGGTTTTCTTCTGATATTGCTGGTGCTGGAAATGCTGATGGTTGATAACAGAAGACCTTGGATGGTCAGTAGCAACTGGCTGGGTGCTCAGAGAATCAGCACCTGGGAGTGTTTAATCATGCTTCCTTGTTTATGGTTAATGGACCAATAATCAATTCACACATCCCTCCTCGCCCCTTTTCTTTTAGATATTTGACCAATTATGGACTGTAAGCTAAATCTTTCGAAGTGTATAAAGACTAACCACAGGGGCTCCTGCTTCAGATTTGAGGTGACATCATGCACAGAGTACTTTATTGATGATTCCTCCTTTCGCCTTGGCCAAGTTTCAATAAACATCTTCAGCGTAAGACATCCCAGAGCTCCAGAGAGCTTTTATTCACTGAAATACCTCGACTACCGATGAGAAGAATTTCTCCCTGTCAACAACCTTCTCTAACTTCTCAGTTTCACCCTGTTTCTTCAAATAACTTACATGCAGAAGTGCAAACCAGCTCAGAGACCCTAATTATTATTCATTTAGTGCTTTATGTAATTAACATCAAGATATACACTGCAATAAAATGTTACAGCTGACACTGAACTTACACAGCAACTTCATTCTAATCTTTGAACCTCTGCCCCACAGTTGAAGAAAAAGAGACTCAAGGAGAAGATCGAGGCAGATGTTGGTGCCTTGGTCCAGTTCTTGCTAGATGAGAGAGACTCCCTGCTTGAGAGCCTGGATGCTGAGGAAGTCGCCACCATGGCCGTCATAGATGACAACCTGAAGACGGTGGAGACAGAGGCGGAAGCTGTGGACAAAGCCATAGCTGATATCCACAGCCACATCAGTGGGAAAACCAGCTTTGAGGTCAGTCCAACATGTCAGCCGTGGATCACAGAGATGGTTTAACTCTTAAATCACCATGCCTCTGCTAGAGCCTCGTATTAGATGTGGATAACAGTTTCTGTTTCTGTCAGTGTGTAATAAGGATTATATACCAAAAGTACTGCATTGAATTGATTTGTCTTTTCAAAAAATATTCCTGAAATGAACACACACAGTATCTTTCAGACTATGTTGGTGTGAACCAAAGATTTAAAAACATTCTCTTCCACGATGAGCTCAATAGCAAGTGTGTTTGATATAAGTCAATGTGTTTTCTTTTCTTCCAACAGAGCCTTGCTGAGACATTCAATGAGTAAGTAACTTATAGTTGTTTGTTTAATATGAACCTCTATAAATCCCATAAAATTTTTATTTTTAAAAAAATGAACCTTTGCATAATCATTTTTATTGAATTTTTCCCTACAGAGTTATCCATTGCAAGCCTTTCACATCTCTGGATCCAGTTAATTGTCCGACTGAATTTACAGACTTCTCAGGGCCCTTCCAGCTTATTATGTGGAAGAAGATGATGCATGTGCTGCATACCAGTGAGTTGACTCTATGCACAGAAGTATACACTGAACCCAGGCAAAATGTTGCTATAGACTAACAGTATACATAAATGTATTTATCTTGAATGATCTTTTGTGGGCGGCATGGCGTTACAGTGGTTAGCACTCTCACGACACAGAAAGATTGTTCTGGGTTCAAACCTGCCAGCTAGCTAGGACTTCCTGTGTGAAGGTTGCATGGTTTGCAGATTATTGGCAACTATACACTGGTGAGCAAAATGAGCAAAAGCCAGTATACTCAGTGTTGTTCTGTGAGAAGACAAAATTCAGAAATGACTCCTACAATTGAGAAAAATTAAGTTGGATCCAGTGGAGAATTTAGTTTGTGCAAAATTATTTTTATATTATATGCTTTACACTTTTTTTTAAATGAAAGTCTGATCATTCATATTGTACAATACATATTACATTCTATACCTTTAATATTAAGCACATTTACATGTAGTATTTAGTATATTCTTTGACTACACAAACAATTTTAATACAACAATTGAGTAAACTCGAATAAATTCAACTGTAGACGTATACCAAGAACATGTAGCCAAAGGATGTCCTTTTAAGAGTGTAACTAATCACATAACACTATTTGGATGTGTCATTGTACTTGGAGGCAGTGTAAAATTTTGGCAAAGTTGGCTGGTCAGTCTACTTGTGCTGTAGCAACGAACACCAAATAGATATTTTTGGTTTTTGGTTTTCTTCGACAAAAATGTCAGATTAAATTTTTTTCCCCAAATGTACTGCCAGCTTCACTCCAATGTAGGAGCGAGGAGAATTAATCTCTCACTGTCACTCTGTGTAGTGCCTCAGAACCTCACCCTGGACCCAGACACCGCTCACCTAAACCTGCTTATCTCAGACTTTGACACCAAAGTGGAGGAGGGCCGTGTTCGTAACCAGGAGCCAGACCTGCCAGGCCGCTTCACCCGCTTCTGTGGTGTCCTTGCCACAGCCCAGTACGCCAGTGGCCAGCACTACTGGGAGGTGGATGTGAGAGACAAAGGTGTGTGGTACCTGGGAGTCACCACTGAGTGCAGCAACAGAAAGGGCTTTGTCAGCCTCACACCCTCCTCAGGATATTGGAGCCTGTGTCTGCAGGACCGGCTGTATGCCAATGGGGAGGACGGGCGCATCCCAGTTGCTGACTACTGGAACTCTCCCCGAGTCGGTGTGTACCTAGACTATGACAATGGGCGTCTTAGTTTCTATGACGCCGTCACAATGAAGAGACTTTACATGTTTGACACTTGCTTTGAAGAGCCTGTCTACCCTTTCTTCAGCCCAGGGAAAAATGATCCAGGCAGCAGGCTGCAGATATGCCACTATTACTGAGAGAACAGTGACGAGTGTTTATTTTAACTATCTAACAGTAAACTCATGTATGCCAGTGTTTTTCAGATTTGCTGTTAGCAGGGTTTAAGGTTGACCCTTGGAGAAATGTATTGTATGCATTTGAGCCGTTACTTGTTGGTCTTACTGGTGTTACAAAATGAGGGTTACGATGAATAAGGATCACCAGGTGTCTAATCACGCTGGTTGGAATGAAGAGCTTCATTTCTCTCATGTTTTGAGGTTGAAAATTTGGAATTTTTCAACATAGACACACACACTGTAGGCTTATACCCCTTGACTGCTGTGGCTGGGGGTCTGGAGAGGTGCTTTGCTGTCTATATCACTGTGTCTGCTGGGATACAGATGCCTCAGATGCTCTTGTTGATTAGGGCATATACAGCTCTTATCCCATTAGCAACTGCTATGCTATACTACTGTACATAAACTCATTGGCTAAGTTTTTGCCAGGCACGGTTGGTGCTCTTGCCTTGTTGGGTAGAACCTGAAGGAAATATGATGTAGTTATCACATTGATAGTTGTTGACAGTTAAGATTCCCTCATTGATTCTAGACTGAAGAACAGTCGGTCATTGCTGATAGTTATCAGACTGATTTGACTAAAACTGGCCAGCTTTCACTGGGATTTCAGCTCAGTGACTAAACTTCCAGGAACTAATGGCTCAGGTTGTTTTGTTTTGTGGATGTTTAATATCAGTAGATAATAATTCTATCATCTGCCTTTTAAAATCGTCTTCATGTATCCTCTTTTTTTATTATTCTATACATTGTTGACTTTTTTGTTAAAAATTCCTCTGTATATTGCTGAGTCACATTTTGGAGCTTATTTTTTGAGCAGTGATACTCATGGCACATTTAGCTTTGTCTGAGATATTTTAAAATCTGAAACATTTTTATCAGTCTGCTTCAAAATGAGAAGGTGTAAGACAAAGCAAATGTTTTTTTCAAATATTCTTATGACAAATTATTAATCATCATTAATCAGTTAATCAGCTACGTCCCCAAATATATCAATGGGTGATGCTGTAGATGTGTTTTACTGTAAAAGACATTCCACTACTGTCAGGATTCACAGACAAGAGCCTGGTAGAATTGACTAAAATGAAAACCCGTGGAATGCTGAATGAAAGTTTTATTACATGTTATTTTTTTGTTTGCTTTTGCAACAGCATTTCTCTGACTATATTCCATTAATTAATCCTTTCTCAGTTTATTAATTGCTATTTGTTGAGTTGGTCCTGGTGCTGCAAGTTGGTCCTAACAGTTTTAGGTCTCTTATCCAACTCGGTCCAGTGTGATCTTTATTTTCCATTATTTTTGATTAATTAATGCCATTTTATTCAATTTTGAATGTAAAAGTACATGTTTCATGCTAATTATATATATTTTCTTTCCTTTATAAATGTATGATTTTTTTTTTTTTAACATTTTCTTATTTGAGCTAATAATTTTTATGGTTCTTTATTTTTGCTTGTACATTTCCCCTTAGTGTTAAGGACCAACAAGTGGGATGTTTGCCATCTTACAACATTGTACTTGTGTTGATGTTATTGAGGAGCATAGTAGAAACATTTAAGAACATTGATGAGTGATGATATTTGAGAATGGCCTTTCCTGCAGTAAATCTCAAGAGGCTCCTTATATCTGTTTTCATTCAGACGTCTAAGATGTTCACGTTAGAACTGCAAAACTCTGTTCTTTAACTTTGAGTATTTGCAGATGAATGTTTTGTCTAAGATGCTGTACCTCATTTAATACCTACATACATTTCACCGCTGAATTTCATTCGTGTTCAGCTTTGCCGTTTTTGGACTGTCTTGATAAATGTGACATGATGTGACAATCTTGGTAACCTGTCTGTGACCCTTTCACCTGCTCTTAATGTGCTCAGTGTTTCTCAGAGTTTACAATGAGATTAAAAGAGGTAAAAAGACTAATTTCTTGTAAAACTTTTTTTTTCTTTTTTTTTTTTTAAACTATCCTCTCACTCTACCCACTTTGCTCACTCTTACGAACCATCTTTTCAGGAGACATCCAGGATATTAGTTACAGGTACATTATTGTATTACTGACCTGTACTATGGTTTTGCCATAGTGGCTCTGCAAAATTGGTGTAGTTAAAACCCGGTGAATTAATCATTTCTGATATCAGGACACTGTCAGCCAGAATTACTGAAATTTGACTCAGAATCTTTTACACCTAAATAACCCAGTTCTTGAACTTTGATATGTGTAATCTCCTGGTTATGGCTCCAAAAACCTTCTGGGCTGTGGTTCTGTTTTCTCACCCTCATCTTCTTTTCTTTTCTGCTCCAACATCCTCATATAACTCTCTGGGACAGTTTGGTGCTGCTGATTCAGTTTTTCGTACAGCAAGAACATTTAAGGAGGAGGTGAGAAAACAAGAGTTCTCTCCATCTCCTCCTCCTCCTGCTTTGGTAATGACTCAGTCGTGACTTTTTTTTTCTGTCTCTCTTCAGAGATGTGGTTTTAATGAGGGGCCATATAAATAGTTGCCTGTATGATGTGATACAAATTCATTAACATGAAGCAGAGACAGTACCTGAATCTTGCAGTTTGTTCAGAGTAACTTAACAAAAATAGTTACAGGTAAAAGAGAATGAATCGCTGTCTGATCTGTGGCCATTTCCCAGCTGTTTCCCATTATTCTGTATTTCTGTCTCAAGCTTGTTATATAAACTTTGTGAGAAAAGAAATTTGAATGTTAATGATTTGTTCACTCATTAGGCTGATTAAAGTGTGTTTACATGCTACATCACTGGGTGCCTGATGCTTGTGGTTGCTGCACTGTAACAACACAAAGATAGATACTGATTTTGACATTTTTCCAATGAAGATGCCAATATCAGATTTTTGCTGGAATGTTACCTGTGTTTAAAATGAATATTACTGCTAACTCAAAATAATCATGGTACAGGAGGAAGTCCTTTTTTAAATAAAACACAATAGAAACGCTCGAAAAACTAGAAAAAAAACCATTACTGCTAAATATATAAATTGAAATGTCTTTTAATCTGAGTTTTTCAGAGAAACTTATTTTTGACGTAGTGTAACAATCTGATTTAGTAAAGTTCCCATCACTTTGCCATTTTCCACAACATGTAACTGATTGTGTTTGCAGCAGTTTTTCAAGCAGCCACTAGAGAGCAGTAAAGGCTTGTCAGGATGGCACTCAGGCAGGCTTGAAGCTCCTTTATAAGGCCACAAGTGAGGACATGGAAAAGCAGATTTCTAATCTGCCAAAAAAAAAAAAAAAACAAGCATATGAATGTTCATTCCCCAAAGAAATATATCATTCTAACCGTTTTATAGAAATAAATGCATTCTCAAGTCTGGTTATACAAAACAGAGCATCTGCACAACAGTTTGTCGTGTTATTCTTTAATATTTACAATCATACCTTTGCCATGATTACATAGTGATTACTTGTAAGACTGGCCTCTTGTAGTATACAGTAGGCTACACAAGATGGTTGATGGTTGTGTTTCATTTATATGTTCTTCCTTTATTCCTTTATTTCACACAGACATGAGCAGGTCAGTGACCAGTACAGGTGAGAGATAGTAAAAAAACAAAAAAAAAAACAGGATTATTGAATTGAACAATTAATGGAGGAGGGAATTCAAATAAATCTGTCATTACAGAGTTTTCCAATAAGTGAAAAATTCATATGGAGAGAGATCAGTTATAGGGTTCAGACAGTAAAAGAATAAAACACAGGGGAAAAACTCTCAGTGTCACTGCGTGTTAGCTGGTGTTGTGTTTCTCTAAGAGCAAACACAGAAAACCTTCAAAACACCGAACCACAAAGCAAATGAATGCAACCACTGGAAAATCCTTGATAAAAGGTGCTTGTGAGCTACAACAAGAATATGATTGTAATATACACTACACTTTTCTGATTATGTTAAATGATAACTATACACAGAGGCATATATTACTCTTGCAAACTATATATAACTCTTATAATATTTGTATTTTGTGCAATGTTCAACAACAACTTACGACAATACGTTTTTGGCGGAGGGAAGAAGAAGTTACTGTGTATAACTGGATGTGAGCTCATTGAGGAGGAGGAGGAGGAGGAGGCAAACGAGAGAGAACGGCTTTCAGTGCTACAAGTTACAAGACCTATGTACAATGATGTTTGGCAAAGAGGAGACAGTTCAAACGCACCAATTAGAAAAATAATTTGTAGAACAAATTATGTAGAAAAGAAAATTAAAAATAAATTAAATCCTTTGCAAAAATAAAATACAGCAAATAATGTGTATACAACATTGTTCCATTGATGTCATTCAGTTGGCTACTACTTGGCATGACCTTCTACTACTGTATTAGTATATACTCCAGTGTTGAAATTCTTGATTCAGTAGGTGCTGGAATAAGTAGGCTATATAGTGAAATAACATGGACACCAAATCCATATGTGTGTATATATATATATATATATATATATATACACACACATCTAAATATGCATATATACAACTATATCAGGTTGTAGATATGAATACACAAAAGTGCAAGAACTAGTGGGATCAGACAGAAGAAGTTTGAGTAAATAGAAGAGAAAGACTAGTTAGACTTGATGTTAAGATTTGAGCTGGTTCAAAAACCTTTTCATCCTATTAACTGTTGTGCTTCTTTTTGCTTGTCTTTGGGTACAAAAACCAAAAAAAATTTGCATATTGTTAACAAAAAATTATTATATTCATGTGCAGGGATTTAGTCAGAGTGATAAGGTGCAGAATGAGAATAAGAAATCATTTATTTTGAAACAACACATTCCTGTCTGTGTGTATGTGTTCTGTTGTGTTTACTGATGAGGAATCATAAGGCAGTGACCACAGGGGAATTTTTTGGAGCACACTGACATGCAACAGTGTTCAAGAAAAAGCCTGAGCATTGTTACTGTACTTCAGTCACAAAGCGTCGTCTTCTCCTCGAGGGGGGGGGAAACAGTGTGGTTGACTCCTCCCTGCTTCCCTGTCTCACTCTGTTTGCTGGTTGGTTTGCTGGGATTGTTGCCCAAAAAATTGCAGTGTATCACCGACTTTAGATTTGTCAGGCTGTCTACTGGTGAGGTCGCACTTTGAAGACACAGAGCTGAAACGCCTTATTCCACAGGCTAATCTCCAGTTCATTTTCCCCTTCTACAGTTTCAGGTAGACAAACCATGTGTGATCAGATAGGGAAATATCTGATCACAGGTTTTGTTTCTTAGCTGCGGTTACATTTTTATTTATTTTAAACTTTTATTAAAACAAGATAGTCTTTTGAGATCTTTTTTCAGAAAGAGAGAAACAATGTTACTTTAGTTTTTGGATAATTGGCTTGTTCTGTTTTTCAAAAACATTTTAATTACACTTTTGGGGTTTGAGTTGTTTTTTATCTGACATTTTTTTCAGATTTATATGTTGTCTGCTCTGAATATTAGATCTTACAGTCAAAACAAAAAGGAAATTAATGTTTGGGGTCACTGTAAAGTGTGCAGGCACATTGCAGCTCTATGTCCACAAGCGATATGTGACATTAACTTGTCTGAACAGGACATGTGTCTTCCCTCAGCTTACTGCAGATATCTGTAAACCTTAAAGCAGTGGTTGCCGGAGTCAGCGACAGCCACATGTCCATCTGAGGTGAGGGCGAGGCCCTGGGGGCCATACAGTGGGTCTGCTGAGGTGTTGATGTAGGATAAGAAGGAGCCTGTGCTGTCAAACACCTGAAACAGGAAAAACACAACATACTCAGGCACTCAGATTTGCAGGTTTCAGGTTGCTGTGACTTAGATGGCAGTTTACTGTGTCTGAATTGATACTGAAGATCCACATCACAGACAATAAGTTTTTAAGTCCTACAGATGTGATGAAAACAACCTGTCTCACCTGTATTCTGCTGTTACCCCAGTCGGCAACAATGATGTTACCATTGGAGTCCACAGCTACACCAGTGGGAGCATTGAACTGACCATTGCCTTCACCGTGAGAGCCAAATTTGAACAAGAACTCTCCATCTGCACTGTACACCTGGGACAGGAAGCCAGTTAACACAAGCTTTGTCTACACCTCCATGTGTACTTTGATACATATAATGACTGTGAATGTGTCTAAATGAATAAAGGTTAAGACCACATAAAGGTGTTTTCAAAAACTTCTGAGAAAGATTTTCTTTTGAACGCAGCACGTCTTACCTTCACAGAGTGATTGTGAAAATCGGTCACAATTATTTCATTCTTGTTGTTAACTGCAACAAAGTGTGGACCTGGATGAAGAAACAGAAGCAGGTTATTTAACGAATGAGCTGATTCATGTAGTTTGCCTCATTCCCTTTACTGTTAGTAGGATGTTTAAACAAATTTGAAGTAGCTCTGCCCAAAGCTGCAATTACATAACCTACTTTATTCAAATGGTTAGCTGTTCTGATTTGCCTGCAATAGTGTGCTGGCATTGTTTTCATGCATTATATGCTTTGAGTTACATGATTGCTTGTTTTTTCAGAACAGAACAAAAACTCAAAGTTAGATTGTCTGGAAAGGCTCAAGGCTCTGAGATTCAATCCCCTCTCACAAACATATTGGCTGAGTTCAACACTGATTGTCTTATAGTAAACAGGGGACATTGGTTAGTTTCGTGGCACTGGAGTCGGAGCAAAGAGAAATCATACACACTAATCGTTCCATAGCCATTTACACAAAAAGAAAAAACACAGTGCATGTGACAAAATGCTCATTATTGTAATAGTAAGTGATGATTACAATGGCATGTACTTGTATGTTTGATCAGTATTGTATAGGCACAGCTCGATCACGTAATCAGGGGGTCGGGTTAGACAAAGGGCACTGCACTGTGGGATTAAAGGTTGCAGCAAGGGCGTAGGTTTGCATGTGGACGGTAGGGACATGTCCCTACCAATATTTTGGAAGGAAAGAATTGTCCCTACCAATATATGGGTGAACTCGTTCACACTATGTTTGGAGGGAATTCATATTAGATCATAGATCATATCAATGTCTCCAAGAAGGTACATCTCCAAGACAACCAAATGTGCCAAGTGGTTAGAACCAACGCCTGAAAGTGAGAAGGTTCCGGGTTCGATCTCTGGCCATGTGTCTGTGTGGGTTCTGTCTGGTTACTCTGGCTTCCTCCCACAGTCCAAAGACATGCACATTAGGTTAATTAAGTTTTTCTGACATTTTATACCTGAATATAGTAAGATGTTTTATGCCTTACTATACCATGACATTTTTATGAATTTTTATGCCTTACTATACTATGTCGATTTATGCCATTCTATATTATGACGTTTTTACGACATTTATACCTTATTATAGTATGACATTTGATGCCATACTATACTATGACGTTTTTATGACTTTTTATGCCATACTATACTGTGATATTTTTATGACTTTTTATGCCTTACTGTACTATGTTGATTTATGCCTTGCTATACTATGAAGTTTTTATTTATTTTTATACCATAATATACTATGACGTTTTTATGACTTTTTATGCCATACTATAGTATGACTATTAATGCCTTACTATACTATGATATTTTTATGACTTTTAATGCCTTACTGTACTATGTTGATTTATGTCTTGCTATACTATGAAGTTTTTATGACTTTTTATACCATAATATACTATGTCGTTTTTATGACTTTTTATGCAGTGCTATACTATGTCGTTTTTATGACTTTTAATGCCTTACTGTACTATGTTGATTAATGCCTTACTATACTATGACGTTTTTATGACTTTTTATACCATAATATACTATGACGTTTTTATGACTTTTTATGCCATACTATACTATGTCGTTTTTTATGACTTTTTATACCTTACTGTACTATGTTGATTTATATCTTGCTATACTATGACGTTTTTATGACTTTTTATATGCCATACTATACTATGTTGTTTTTATGACTTTTTATGCAGTACTATATTATGTCGTTTTTATGACTTTTAATGCCTTACTGTACTATGTTGATTAATGCCTTACTATACTATGAAGTTTTTATGACTTTCTATACCATAATATACTATGATGTTTTTATGACTTTTTACAGTATGCCATACTATACTATGTCGTTTTTATGACTTTTTATGCAGTACTGTACTATGTCGTTTTTATGACTTTTTATGCAGTACTGTACTATGTCGATTAATGCCTTACTATACTATGACGTTTTTATGACTTTTTATACCATAATATACTATGATGTTTTTATGACTTTTTATGCCATACTATACTATGTCGTTTTTTATGACTTTTTATGCCATACTATACTATGTCGTTTTT